ACAGGGCCTGGGCTGTCGGCTGGTGACTCGCTGGGGCGCTCACTGCCCCACACTGCATGGGATGCTCAGGCAGGCTGAGGTGTTGCCCGGGCCCTAGACAGCCCCCAAGAGCCAGTGGCTGCCCTCACTGGGGGGCTGACTCTCCCGGCCGTACAGCCCCAGCTGGGTCAGTGGGTGCCTGCACCAGGGCCCCTTGTTCTAGGGCACCACGCCCTGAGGCTCTTCTGTAGCCCCACTGATCCCAGGGAATGGAGCCCCGGGCCCTGGAGAGAGCTCGTCCCCCCGACTGCCCAGCTGGGCTGAGATCAGAACCTCCATCTGAGACATGCGTCTGCCCCACTGACAGCACCAGGCACCAGCAACTATCTGAGCCATCCCAGACCCTGCTGACTCATAACACTAGAATGGGGCTGTGTATGGGCAAAGACCCCACTAGGTGCATTTGGAGTAAGAATGATGCTATAGATGCTCATGATAATCAAGGTTTCCAGGGACATGCTCTTAAACCAGTCCTTGTTCAAGAACATTGTCTCCCTTCATTTCCCCTTGCATCTCTAACCCTGTAACGATGGAGAAGATGCCAGTGTTGGTTGCTCAAGTAACCCGTATCCACCTCACAACCAAGACGGTGCAAAATGCATCAGCGGGAAACACTTCTTTCCCCGGCGTTCTTTCAGATCTGATGCACAGGAATCTGAGCGTCTCTTCCTTTCGGTGTTCTTAGATTCAACCCCTCCAGCGGAGATTCCGCTCCGGCTCGTGAACGGCCCGAGTCACTGCGCCGGGAGAGTCGAGGTGCTACACGACCAGCAGTGGGGGACCGTCTGTGATGACGACTGGGACTTAACCGATGCTGGAGTCGTGTGCAGGCAGCTGGGCTGTGGGACGGTGCTGTCAGCCCCAGGGGTGGCTCAGTTTGGACAAGGCTCTGGGCGTATCTGGCTAGATGATGTTAACTGCACGGGGACAGAAGCTGCCCTCTCCGAATGCACGGCACGGCCCTGGGGAGACAGTAACTGTAACCACGGAGAAGATGCGAGTGCCGTGTGCTCAGGTAACCCTCATCTATGTCACCTCCTACAGGACACAACATTATGCTGCAGGAGTGGCTGTTGGTTCTGTCACAGTTCAGGGCAGTCTCATCAGTATTCCCCCTCTGCATCCAGCCAGGGCCCCCAAAGTCAGATTTAGAGCTCCTGAGCCATCGCTGCTCTTGAGTGGAGAGCCCTGTCTCTCTCCCTCCCTGATGGGTTATTTCCATGTGACACAGCTCTTTAAGCATACCTTGATTTTCACCACTGGGGAGTACGTTGGGCTTCTGATCAGACGCTTTGCGGGGAGTGGGGCAAACAGCCTGGTTTGGG